AGGGTTTAGCCACAGTAGAACAAGGTGCAGCCCAGCTCTTATCTGCCCAGTTACATATAAACCAGTCACTGCTCTGCATTATTTCATTAAAATATCACACTAGCTGCTGTAGCCAATTGTGCATTATGACAATGTTGTCAAGGATGTATAGAACCAAAACCAGTAAATGGATTGCCAGTTCAGAGCAGCCATTCTGTACACCACTGCTGCAATGAGCTGTTATTTCTGCACTAGTTTAGGTTACAGGTGCCTTTCTACTCACGTTAATGATTGAATCCGGCTATGCTCTTCCAACCTCGCTCCTAGCATGGAGTTTTTATCTACAGAAATGCCATTGACTGGATTTTTCACCACTTTCTATATAATTGAGATTCTGTAGTGGGTGAAAATCCCAGCAGGATGACTAGTGGAGATGCTGGAACTTCTGCACATGGCCAGATCAATCACGCCACATTCAAAATAGCTTAGAGTATGTGGCCCAGCCATTCCGGTGGTTCACTGAACAGTAATTGATCCTGTTGGCCCTGTAGGTATTCTGCTGCAGCCATATGATTGACTGTTTGCATTGATGACTAGGTGTAGCTAATAACCTGAGTGAATATTTACTTTTAAACCCCTTTGTTCCATAGCTGTTCCCTTTAAGGAGTCTCCTCCATTTGTACTTCCTGCATTCAATCTACAATATTGAACGTGATGATAAATCATTAAACACAAACATACATAATGTAACTGGAGTGATAACCACATCCATTCAGAGACCTTTCAGTGGGGATGCTTTAAAATAGCTATCAAATGATGTATTTGAGGTCCCTGTAATCAGATAAGTGTATTTCAGCTGCGGCCCCTATGTCACGGAACTGTGTGAGTCGCCTGCCATGGATTATGGGGTCAGCAGTATGGAAGCGAGAGATCAGTGACGCTCATTAGCACACAGGTACACAAGGGATTGACAGCTACTGTCTCACAAACGGTACCAGGAAATCGGAGGATGTAATGCTTCTCACATCTTGTCACATGCGCACATGCATTTCACAACCAATATATCACGATCAGTCACGTCCTTAGACTAAAGAATCTAGAGTGGTTACAGGAAATGGACTCCAGTCCTGCCCTGCCTCCCTGCTGACTCTGTAGCTAATTCACTCTGCGGTTTGATGTGAGGTGAAATGCCTCGCAACTGCAGTCTTAGGTAATTACTAATGGCAAGTCTTATCCTGCTCTGTGACTGACTGCTCCTGTTTGTGCAGCGCAGGACGCCTGCTGCACCCTGGGGGCCGTAGGCAGTTAAACATTTACGAAAGGGCGGCCAAACTATCAACGGATGACAATACTTTATGGAAGTGAGTAATGTAACGCTGAGAGGTGCCTTTAGGAATCTCAAATGAAATTTCATAAGGCCACATTTGACACACCAGCACAGGTGTAGTACCGGGAAATTCACTGGCCTTTGGATTCATTTTCATGAGAAAATACGTTCTGAGGGCTAGTAACCTGTGGCAGAACAGGTTTTAGAAACAACACTGTAACCTACAGTCATGGAAACCGGAGGAAATGTGTCATTTTCCACACTCCAGCAGGTGTCAACAGGTATTGTGTGTGTCTGTGTCTGTGGGTGTGTGGGGGAGGGGGCATCAAATATTGCACATGTGTTTGCGCATTTCATTGGCTGCCATGCAAGATCTGGTATTGTGGAAGCCGCACTCGTGAATGTGCTGTTGTGCCCTCTACCTCTACAGGCACAGAGGCAGCATTTCAAACGTTAGACTGAGGGGAGGAGATTCCTGAAGGCATTTTACCTGCTGGGACGTCGCTGCTGCTTCGCTGGCGGCTCCCGCTCTGCCAGGCCTGTATGAACAAGCCTAACACTCGTCACGTCTTACTGCAGCGCTAGCAGACGCTTCTACATGCCTACAACTTGAACTGGGCTTATCTCTCCTGCTGCTTCCCTTGAACTGAGCAGTGAAGTTGATTAAACCCAACCCACATCTGAGAAGCAGAGAAGGAGGAAGGCCATCTCTCACACACAGAAGGCCGCCTCGTGCTCCAACGGCCATCTCACGCTCAGTAGCCCGTCTTACGCTCAGTAGCCCGTCTCACGTTCAGTAGCCCATCTTACGCTCAGTAGCCCGTCTCACGCTCAGTAGCCCATCTTACACTCAGTAGCCCGTCTCACGCTCAGTAGCCCATCCACGCTCAGTAGCCCGTCTCACGCTCAGTAGCCCGTCTTACGCTCAAAAGGCCGCCTCACGCTCAGTAGCCCGTCTTACTCACAGAAGGCTGATACTGTTGGCAGGGTAGCAGGGCTCCAGACTAACTTTTAAAATTTTGAACTTAAGATGGTGGCTTGGGTCATACACTATATTGCCAAAAGTATTGGGACACCTGCCTTTACACACACATGAACTTTAATGGCATCCCATTCTTAATACATAGGCTTTAGTATGGAGTTGGCCCACCCTTTGCAGCTATAACAGCTTCAGCTCTTCTGGGAAGGCTGTCCACCAGGTTTAGGAGTGTGTATATGAGAATTTTTGACCATTCTTCCAAGAGAGCATTTGTGAGGTCAGACATTCATGTTGGATAAGGCCTGGCTCGCAGTCTCCACTCTAATTCATCCCAAAGGTGTTCTATCGGGTTGAGGTCAGGGCTCTGTGCAGGACAGTCAAGTTCCTCCACACCAGACTCACTCATCCATGTCCTTATGGACCTCGCTTTGTGCACTGGTGCGCAGTCATGTTGGAACAGGAAGAGGCCATCCCCAAACTGTACCCGCAAATTTGGGAGCGTGAAATTGTCCAAAATGGCTTCGAATGCTGCAGCATTAAGAGTTCCTTTCACTGGAACTAATGGGCCAAGCCCAACCCCTAAAAAACAACCCCGCACCATAATCCCGCCTCCACCAAACTTTACACTTGGCACAATGCAGTCAGGCAAGTACCGTTTCTCCTGGCAACAGCCAAACCCAGATTCGTCCATTGGATTGACAAACAAAAAAGTGGGATTCGTTACTCCAGAGAACACATCTCCACTGCTCTAGAGTCCAGTGGCAGTGTGCTTTACGCCACTGCATCTGACACTTTGCATTGCACTTGGTGATACAAGGCTTGGATGCAGCTGCTTGGCCATGGAAACCCATTCCATGAAGTTCTTTACGCACTATTCTTGAGCTAATCTGAAGGCCACACAAAGCTTGGAGGTCTATAGCTACTGACTCTGCAGACAGTTGATGACTTCTGCACACTGTGCGCCTCAGCATGCGTTGTCCTTGATCTGTGATTTTACGTGGCCTACCACTTTGTGGCTGACTTACTCTTGTTCCCAATTGCTTCCACTTTGGTATTATACCATTAACAGTTGTAGTGAGGAAATTTCGCGAATGGACTTCTTGCACAGGTGACATCCTATCATGGTATCACAATTCAATTCACTGAGCTCCTGAGAGCAACCCATTCTTTCGCAAATGTTTATAGAAGGAGTCTGCATGCCTGGGTGTTTGATTTTATACACCTGTGGCTATGGAAGTGATTGGAACACCTGAATTCAATGATTTGGAGGGGTGTCCCAATACTTTTGGCAATATAGTGTAGATAACCAAGATATTTAATACTAGTAGGTGATATCTAATTTTTGATACTGTTCAGACATTAACCTTATGCATGCGGTATTTTGACTGTATTTTAAAAAGCAATATTATTCCGGTATTTAGAAATCTCCCAAGATACAGTTTTGCTGAAAGGAAAAACCGCGCAGAATGCTGTGCTGCCATTTTACTGAAAAACTAAATCGTAGTTCTAATAATAAATGCATTTTTGGTTTCTAAATGTAAAAATAAAATCAAGTACAAACATGTAAGCGGAATCGTGCATTAACCCTTACATAGCTGACTAAAAATGCACGTTTAGAAATCAATACCTGGAACATAATTCAAATGTCTTATCACAGTCATGGTTCTTAGAAATATAGAAAAGGTTCTAATTTGGAAAAAGGGGTCTTTTCAATACCAGGAACGCAAAGATCATACTTGTGGCCTTGGCAAGAGCGGTCTTGCTAATTTTCCTTCCAAGAATGAACTTGGGATGCAATGAATCATAGGATTGCTCTCATTTAGTGAGGATGCAACCGCTGTATCCTTCATATTTGGGGCGGGGTAAGAACAACAATCTGGGGATTTTTACCATCCTCTGTACTTCTGTTCTTAGTTTTGGAACTGGTCATTGGCGATGGGAGATGACATAGAACAGGTACACGAGAACCCAAGTATGGTCAAGTACACATTTAAAGAAACACCCCGGCTCTGAATACCAAACCCTCCAGACCAATCCTCGCTCCTGCTTGGAAGACTGGCGAAGTCGCACTGGTGTGCAAAATGCGACTGAATGGTCAGAGTCTGGAGCCCAGGGTAGTATGTTTGTGTCCCATCCATGTCAAAATAATGGTGCGTGTTATGATGGATGAGCAAACAAAAGACAAACAACTTTTGCCTCAGGCAAATTGCTCAGGACGCAAATCATACAGAACAGGGATCCTTTGCATGTTTAGTCTTCCTTCTTCATATGCTGAATGCACCTCCATGTACTGTAGTGCACTGAGCACAAAACAAGTTAAATTGAAGACTAGAAATAAACCGTTTATGTTTTATGTTTTATTTAATGGCTATATTATTTCAGCTCTGTTCAAAACAAAGATTTTCTTTTGCTCCACGAAGCTCTAATCTATATTCAAAGTGCAATTCTCTAATTATAGGTTGCTGAAATTACAGCTCTGCACTTGAAAGGAAGGTTCAAGACAGTCGACTGAGCGTGACTTCTTAGCTCCAAGAGCCAACACAGTTCAGGTACATTCCAGAGAGACGGAGCGCTGAATGACGCAGCGCGGAAAGGAGGGCCCTTCATCACTGACTGCTGGCTGTTTGTCCCTGTATGCTGCAATTCACTACTATTGATGTGCAAGGCCTGTCCTAATAGTCCAATGTTCAGATCGGATCTACAGTCACACAGAGATCATTATTATTTGTTTTTATTAACATACAAAAATAAGGATTTTGCATACAACAGAGTTTATGCCTCTCTATAAAATAATAAAAAATAAAAATAAAAAAAAACCCAAGAAATAGCTATGAAGTGAAGTTTGCGAGCAGGGTGCCCTCGGAGAAGCTTTACCAGCGGATCTGCACCGTCGCCGCCAGAGCTCAGCCATGCAGTGCAGCAGTTAATACTCCCCTTTGAAACCTCAGCCTCTCACCCCAAAACACACTGTCACCACAGCAGAGGGAAGAGTCAGGAATGAAGAAGCAGCAGGTTCCAAAAGATCACTGTTTCACTTCTACACTTAGTTTTTCTACACTTACTTTTTTTGCAATTCACATTTAGGGTAGTCAGCCAAGAACCAGACTCACCTAGACGATTAAGTCCACCCCCTAAACCGAACCCAGCCCAAAAGAGCAGGTGTTGTTAACCTGCCATGTACCATCAAGGAAGGCAGCATTGCTGAATCGTGACGCAGAATCCAGTCTATCCAAGCTGCTACAAAATACCAACAGGATCCAGCTGACTTTTTTTTGTTCGGTGTGTGTGAACCTGACAAAAGTTTCTTCCTCCTTTGGCTGCTCCCCCGATAAAACGCTAAAGGTATTCAGTGTGCCGTCAGTCAGAGATAGGCTCCCCAAGCCTGCCTGGAGAAAAAAGTGAGAGGACATCGTGTGGGATCCGCCTGGCCCTTGGGAACAGCTGGCTGAGGAAGAAGGCGGCCCTGGCTGAGAAGCGGGAAACCTGTGCGTCGGCTAGCAGAGCGAGAAACGACAGACTACCGGTGTCACGTTCACCTATCAACTGCTCCCCGGCGTGAGGCCCCCGGGCACACTGACTTTCTGAGCTGCTTCTGAGCAGCCATGGAGAGGGGGGAGTGGCAGAGGGCAACTGGGACGCTGACAGAGGGATCTCACAGCGCCTCTACACCTCCCAGATGTGGGAGAGGTGCCGTGTTGCCTCGGGGGACTCAATCAGCACCCGTTAATTGGCCTGACAGAACACAGTAACGTCTGCATTCCGCCAACTACTGTGATCTAATGTAGCGCGACAGCCAAAGGGGACCATTCATGGCCAAAGAGCCACACCTCCGTCAGTAAGATAGCAGGGCAGCACAACCCCCCCAACGTCAACAAAGACCCGCAAGCCGAGCACCGAGCCACCCTGCTCTGAAGGCACTGGAGGAAAAGCACAGAAAAGCTGTCCGAGTGCTTCGCAGAAACATATAAAAACAGGTCAAATCGTCATAACAAAAATTTTACAATTGAAAATCTTATACGGTGAGTCATTAGTAATATTTTTATTTCTTTGGAATGTTGTTGGCATCGTCCTAAGAACCTTGATACAGTGATTTATCTCTGGCATCTGATAAACAAGTTATTGTTACGCTCACTGCAGTTTCTTTATAATGCCTTGCAGTTTCATACATTGATATGCATTGAACTCAGAACTGGACAGTATCATTCAACACATTATTTGACATTACCAATAAATAAGGTCAAGCGCGGGAAGTGTCTACAGCACATGGTGGGTGAAGTAATATTTTTGGATTTTTTTTGGGGGGGGGGGGTCAATCAGAAGCAGCAAGCTAAGTATTACAATTCACTTTAATGAACATTCATTCGTTAGCCAGGGCCACCTGCTGTGCAGTTCCTTCTCAGACGTATGTAGGTGGGCATGAGGTTTCCACCTCCACATGACCCTCATGCCGCCTCACAGACCAAATGACATTAAAAGCTTGGGTCTGTAAACAAGCTGGGCATACTTTAGGGCGAAATACCAAGAGGCGCAAACCACTGAAGGTAAAAGCAAAAAACCAGTTCAGTTGGTGGAGAATTCAGTAAACATACAGTACCCAGAAATGACCTTAAAACAAAAGATTTCTCAAAACAAAGTTTTCTTTCTTTTTAACAAAATACACATAACCTGCCACCTTCTAAAAAACTATATTCATTTCACGTGCCTGCTTATCGCATCAGTGACTTTCGTGGTTTTAAAATGCAGAAGTTGCTTTCATTGATCCATTTTTAACATTTTTGCTATGTAGGAAGCGTTTCTGTTTGTAGCATTCACATCAAAGCCCGGCACCCAGAATCTCCCTCCACAAGAGTTACTGATTTACCCAAAACAGACGTGCTGACTCTTGCCATCTTTGCTGTAACTTGCATACGGCACAGGCAGTCCATTGATAAAAAGGTCGCACAGGCGGAGTGGGACTGGCTGGATTCTGCTGCGCTGCTGGATGACAGGTGACGCTTGTGCATCTCTTCACGAGGGCTTGATGTACAGGGAGAGCCTTGCAGTTTCCAGTGCAAATACGTGCAAGCCAGGGCAGTCAGGTGTGAAATCAGGCTGCTCCACTGCTCCAGCAGGAGGAGGCAGTGCAGGCAGCTGGGCACAGATTCACTCCTTCAGTGCCAGTCAAAAAAGGCGCAAAGGGAAGGTCACCAAAAGTGGGAGGAGCCTATTGCACGGCTGAAAACTATTTTCTGATTGCTTTTTTGGCCATCTTTTTGATCAGGAGTCCTGCCTGGTCGTACATCTGAATGCAGTAGCGGGGCTTGGATGGGGGTGGGGGTGGCGGTGGGGGCGGGGGGTCAGTGTCATACATGACGAAGGCATCAGTCCATCTCCTAGGTGGTGAGACAGAGAGGCCAGGTGTCAGCAACTTCATATGCACCCAGGGTTCAAGAGCAGACAGCAGCAGAACTGTAGATGGACACCAAATTTTTCTCTCTTACTCTTCCCGGCAGCGATTGCCATGTTAATCTCACAATGTGCTGTTTAGCTATAGTTGGGATGTTTTTTGCCTTCTCTGGCAGGAATAAATAAGCGGCAACCATAGCCTTTGAGGAAGAGCTTTACCCTGTGCCACTTTCAGCCCCAAAACCTCCACTTTCTGTTTCAGATCACATTTGAGCTCGCAACATGAACACGGACTCCAAATCACACCTGCCAGTGAGGAAGGCCGTCACGGGGCCAACTGTGCTCCGGAGCACTGTCCTGCCTTTAGAGGACGTGGCAAAGCCGAGAGCAGAGCAGCCACCGTGTGGGGAGTGCCATAGAAAGCAAACAGTGCTGCATGTCTGGCAAGCAGCTAAACCTGAACCAACAATGCAGCATATATGTCATATTAAAATGAGCTCACACTACCGGAACGTGGAGCTGTGACTTACCCATTCGCTGATGCTAGTACGGTGATTCGATCCTGAAAAGAAGCACAGGCAACAGAGAGACTATTGAGTCAATGATTGCTGATGTCAGTACTGTAAGTGATGTGTCACAAATGAGATTTAGCAATTATTCATTGATTCATCCAGGGAGAGTCTGGTTCAGCTGCCCAGCCTGGTGAGCTCTGTAGCTTGGGGCTCAGTAACAAATGTTCTTATCTCACAAATACAGTACAAGTCACTTTACTGTACATTTGGAGTCATATTGCCGGATGATTCATTCACAATCTATACCAGTGCAGCAGAACATTGATGCAAGGCTCTGAAAGAAAAGCCTATTAAGCTGCACGGAAAAAATCTGGATTTCAAAATATTCAACAAATGCAGAAATAGAATTTACCAGAAAAGGTTTGAGAGGGTATGCAGGTACTTCCATGAAACACTTGTTATTGTCTGTAACTCCATTGGTAATTTAATATGTAACATAATCCATGCAAGGTCTTTGGCCGCTCATTAAGACAATTCAGATTTAAAAAGATGATCTGGCTTCCCTAAACTTCATTTATCCGGTTATTGCAAAGCACTTAGTTGTTTTTTTCCCAACTGTCATTCCTTTAGAGATTTCTACTCGTCAAACAGGAAACACCTCCCTTGTAGTGGCATAAAGGAAGAATGATTTCTAGCAGGGCATATACTCTGTATGGGTGCAATCAAAAACTACAGACATGCCACAATATAAATCAATGATAATCTCAAGCAGAAGACAGACCTTTCAATTGTCTTACTGGATCCAGCACACAAATCCAGGTGAGAGCTACATTGGACAACAAAGGACTAGTTATTCAATTATTCAATTTATTCAATGACATGCTTTTTATGACCTGGAAGTACACTGTGCACTACATTACGCACACCTCTGTGTGCTGCAGTGTTTCAAAGCTCCTCCCTCCTCATTCATGCACTAGTAGATCTATGTTTCTTCCAGTGGTTTCATTATGGAAAACTGAATTTAAAGAATTTAAAGTTCAGCTATAACCGGAATTGAATTGTTAAATGCTCTTTTATTGACAGGCACAAAAATGATACCCGTACTATACGAAAAACCATGTCTATTGACACAGTAATGCAGCCGACTGAATACAGGGCTGTAGAGAATTTGTGCAACTGCAACTGATTTGCATATGATCTGTGTGAAATTAGCATAACTGTCAATGCTATGGAACAGTGGGTGAAGTCATGTGGGTGGAGCCATGTCCTCATACAGCTGAATGACGTCTTTCCCTAGCTCTCTGTATCTGCAGCATTAGCCTGCTCCCCAGTGTTCGTGCAGCTTTTGGATGGGCACTCCGCCTGCTCCCCAGTGTTTGTGCAGCTTTTGGATGGGCACTCCGCCAGCTCCCCAGTGTTTGTGCAGCACTCCTCTTTCTTCCTATAGTCCAAAAACATGCGGTTAGGTAAACCGATGTCACCACACTGCCCACAGTGTGCATGTGTGTGTTTGTATGTGTGTATGTGCCCTGTAATGAACTGGCATCCTGTCCAGGGTGTCCCTTGCCCTGTAATGGACTGGCATCCTGTCCAGGGT